TGGATAATTTCTGTATGGTCTCCTGGATTTCCTTGGGCTAGGCCTGAATCACTCCAGTTTAAAAAGGACATTGATAAACCGGAGCAAGTCCAGAGAAGGGCTGCCAAGATGGTGAAAGGACTGGAAACCAAGTCCTACCAGGAAGGGTGAAAAGACCTGGATATGTTTAGCTTGTAGAAGAGAAGGTTGAGAGGGAACATGTTAGCTGCCTTCAAATGTCTGAAGGGCAGCCACATTGTAGAGGGTTTGGACTTGCTCCAGAGGGGAAGACTAGAACCCCCGGGAGGAAACTTCAAGGATATGGATACAGGTGAGACACTAGGAGGAAGTTCACGACAAGAAATGCTGACAGTCAGTGGGTCGAGTTACTGCATGGAGTGGCTTCTTCCCCATCCCTGGAGGTTTTCAAGCAGAGGCTGGACAATAATCCGTTGGGGATGGTATAGTGCAGTGTTGTCCAAAAATGGCCACTTTAAGCCCATGCTGGCTGGGGAATTTTGGGAGTTGAAGTCCACTCATCTTAAAGTGGCCAAGTTTGGACAACACTGGTGTAGTGTTTAGGGAGTTGGATTTGATGACTTCTTAGGTCCCTTCTAACACTGATTCTATGTCCTAAGGTGGCATCATTCCACACTTACCTCGTTCTCCAAATCTTTCTGGTTACAAGCTCCCTCCTTTACTGATAAAGAATAGTATTTGAATGCTAAAACTGACCCACGCTGTCTTTTCAACCTGCAGCAGCTAAGGAGGAGGCTTTTTCGACTTTCTGCCTATCTCCACCCACATTTTATCAGGCTGCAAAAGCTGTTACAGATGTTTGTGTGGCCTTACCTTTGCTTGATCTGTTTGACTGGTTTGTTTGGCCTTTGAAAGGTGCAAGGTTTTTTTTTCCCAACACACTGAGCGATGTATTTTTCTAACATTGATATCACTTTCTTTCTCAAGACTCTGCTTGTACTGTTTATGCCAGTTTGATTAACTTCTTATAGAAAAAAAAGACTTATAAATACTTGGAAATGAAA